CCACCACCAGCATCACCACTGTCACCAACGCTGGTGCCACCACCACCACTGCCATCGCCACTGCATCATCACTGGCACCACATTGGGTACCACCACAGGCACCACCACCGTCACTGTCACCACCACCACCACTGACACTGCCACCGTCACCATCACCCCCATGAGCACCAGCACCACCACTGCCACCAACAGTGTCACCCACAGCATGAGGGGACACCTGCCCACAAGGCATTGGGGACACATGGCCATGGCATGTGAGGAGACATCTGCCCATGTGGCACTGGGGACACATGTTGGGGACACATTGAGAAAAAAATGGCCATGGGGTGCTGGGGACATCTGCCTGTGTGGCATTGGGGACACATGTCCAGCCCTGAGGACGTGTGGCCATGTGACACTAGGGACATGTGGCCGTGTGACACTGGAGATCACATGACTTGCATGGTTGGGGACACACGCCTATGTCACGCTGAGACATCGGGTGCCCTGTAGGGTTAAGGACACATAGCCATGGGGCGCTGGGGACATCTGCCTGTGTGGCACTGAGGACCATGGGGCCAAGGGGGCTGGGACCACACGCCGACGTGGCCTTGGGGACACTCTTGGTGCAGCCTGTCCCCATGTCCCCTCCTCAGTCCCCACGCGCTCCCAGGGGACACTCACGAATGATCCAGCGCTCCATGACCTCCAGGGACAGGTACTCGCAGGCCGCCTGGGGACAGAGGCCCCGTCCCCGCCCCGCGCGCGCGGGGAGGTGGCACGGGGGGACGGTGGCACTCACGGTGTCGGAGCTGGCCGGGCTCAGCATGGAGCCCGCGGCGCCCAGCAGGCTCAGGAGCTGGTCGCTCCGCCACTGCTCGGCCCCCTGATTCCTCCGCGCGAAGAGGAAGTGCAGGGACAGGAGGGCGCTGGTGACAGCCTAGGGGACAAGGGGATGATGGGCCATGGGGATGGACATTAGGATCAGCCTTGATGGGGTTGAGCCAAAGGGATGGACATTGAGGTCAATCCCATCGCGTTGGGCCATGCAGAGGGACATTGGGATCAACCTTGATCGGGTTGAGCCAAAGGGATGGACGTCGGGGTCAATCACATTGTGATGGGCCATGGGGATGGACATTAGGATCAGCCTTGATGGGGTTGAGCCAAAGGGATGGACATTGAGGTCAATCCCATCGCGTTGGGCCATGCAGAGGGACATTGGGATCAACCTTGATCGGGTTGAGCCAAAGGGATGGACGTCGGGGTCAATCACATTGGGATGGGCCATGGGGATGGATAGTGGGGTCAATCCCATTGGGATGGGCTATGGGGAGGGACGTTGGGATCAACCTTGATGGGGTTGAGCCAAAGGGATGGGCGTTGGGGTCAATCCCATTGGGATGGGACATGCGGATGGACAGTGGGGTCAATCCCATTGGGATGGGCCATGAGGATGGATGCTGGGATCAACCTTGATGGGGTTGAGCCAAAGGGATGGATGTTGGGCTCAATCCCATTGGGGACAATCCATGGGGATGGACAGTGGGGTCAATCTTCGTGGAGACGGTCCTTAGTGATGGGCCTTGGGGACCATGTCCCCGTGGGGATGGTGCTTAGAGATGGATCCCAGGGCCAGGGGATGGACCGTGGGGCCTGCCCAGGTGGGGACGAGCCATGGGGCCACCCCGGCAGGACCAGGCCCCGGGTGCCCACCTGGTGCCGTGGATCATCTCATGGGCGCAGTGGTACAGGCCAATGAGCACCCGGCGCTCCTCGGTGCGGGCCAGCAGCAGCACAAGGGACACGTAGGTGACAACCAGGTCCAGGTAGCCCTTGGTGAAGTCGTAGTTGACGTTCTGGGGACGGGGCAGCCGTGAGCGCCAGGGCATGTGGGCACCTCCCGAACGCCCCGAGCACCCTCAGGGCACCTCGGGCACCTCCTGAGTGCCCTGAACATCATGGGGGCACCTCCAGCACCCCAGGACACCCTATGGGTGCCCTAATCACCTCCTTGGGCACCTTCTTGGCACCTGGTCACTTCCAGGGCACCCTCTGAGCACACCGAGCCCCTCCAAGTACCCTCTGAACACCCTTGTCACCCACTTGGGGACCATCCTGCCACCGTGGTCACCACCTTGGGACCTTCCTGGCACCCTATGGGCACCCTGAGCACCTCCTGGGCGCCTTCTGAGCATCCCTGGGTCTCCTCAGGCACCTTCCAAGCAGCTTGAGACCCTCCTTGGGGACCATCCTGCCACCCTGGTCACCCCCTGGGTGGCACCCATGGGTCCCCACTCACGATGTCGAAGAAGCAGTCGCTGGCATCGATGGGTTCTGAGCCGTGGCCTGGGCCGGGACGGGGGATGCGTCCCCCCGTGTCACTCCTGCCACATGTCCCCTGTCCCCGCGCGGTCCCCGGCTCACCCTGAACTCCAGCACGTCCACGAAGGAGTGGTAGAAGGGGGCCAGCGCCCGCGCGATGTCCCCCCTGTCCTTGTGCACCGGGCCCAGGTGTTGCTGTGGGGACACCCGGCAGGTGACATGGGCTGGGGGACAGCCAGGATGGGGCGAGGGGGACCCAGGCTAGGGGACATGAGGGACACCGCAGGGTGTGGATGATGGGGACACCCGGGACAAGGTGACATGGGCTGGGGGACAGCCAGGTGACATGGGCGGGAGTCAGTGGGGATACGAGGAAGGGGGTGACCTGGTGTAGGGGATACCAGGGAAAGCTGGGATGGGCCCAGGACAGGGGACATTGGGATGACACAGGGCAGGGGACACTGCGGTGACCCAGGGCAGGGGACATTGGGGTGACCCAGGACAGGAGACATTGGGATGACACAGGACAGGGGACATTGGGATGACTCAGGGTGGGGGACACTGGGGTGACCCAGGACAGGGGACATTGGCGTGATCTAGGGCAGGGGAGATGTTGGGGACATCTGCGGTGCAATGATGTGGCTCGGGGGACACTGGGGCAACCCAGAGTGGAGGAGGACACTGAGGCCACCAGGAGCAGGGGGGACAGCAGAGACCCCCGTGGTGGGGGTGACACCATGTGGGGGACACAGAGGTGACACGGGGACGC